CAAAACATAAATGTTTTGCATAAATAAGATTAATACATATTATTCAACAATGGGTACGTATCATTTTATAGATCATTTCATTGACATTTTATTATTTCATAGACATGAACTTGTATATGAATTTATGAAATGATTTTCCATAAAATGATAAACAATTATCAAAAATATAAAATAATTAATTACCTTAACCATTTCTACTACCATCTTAGCTTCATAGGTGTTCGAATGTGAATTCATTGCAAATTCATTTTCTCCAGAATCCTCAGAATTGCGATGATCCACAAAATAAACATTTTTCTGGGCACCGCGCACGTTTGGATAATTAACAACTTTTTCTTCGTCAACAAGATCGTTATAAAGTGTATACCGAATTAAATCAGAAATTTCTCCTCTCATCCTTCTTTGGGTATGCAATTGCGATTTTTCTAAACGCATTGCCTGATCTCCGTTAACAAGACGCTCGAAAAGACTTTTATCAAGAGCATAATTGATTCCAATTTTCGAATCACATGTTAAAGTGTATGTAGTGCAACGAGGGCGAAGCTAAAAAAAGAAAAATAAATAAATAAATAAGTAAAATAAAATAAAGGCTAAAAATTAGCTTATAATCCCCACCAAGAAATAACTTTATTTCTACGTACCTGATTATGATCACCAATAAGGATCATGTGTTGCGTCTTTGACGTTAGTGCACTCAAAATATGTGCTTCCAAGACTTCGCCAGCTTCTTCGCAAATAATTACACGTGGTCCTAAAATTGTAATGTATAATTTAAGATCTATTTATTTTAATAATAATCATTTTAAAGTCATACCGATAGAGCTAATTAAAGTTTGAAATTTTGCTGCTCCATTTGTTGTCATCCCGATTACATCACAATTAAGAAGAAACCGACGACGATTTTCATTGTAAACCTTATCAATTTCATTTTTCTTCTTTTCATGTTGTTCTTTGATTCTAGAAAGTTCATCAAGGCAATCTAATTGAATGTTCTCTTTCCAAAAGTCGTGCAATTTTATTCTTTCAGCCATAGACATTTGCCAAACATTAGGATCAGTTTTTAGGTATTCCAAGTGTCGATCACCTTCAGGTTTCTCCCATGAAAGAAGATAATCTTGTATGTAACTAATGTAATAATCATTAGTATTCTCAGGATTTTCATTAGTATTCTCTATATTTTCATTAGGATTCTCAGTATTTTCAGTATTTTCAATGTCATTTTCAATGTCTGTATTATTTTCAGTAGAAGATCCTTCTTCGCTATCAAGGTATCTAAGCGTTTCAAACATATTACTGTTATTTGTTATATTGTGTTCAATTTCTTGGATTTGAAAATTGTCAGTCCATTTCTGCGCAAGGTCTAAATCACTCCCACAAATCCATTGGCAAAATATTGACCGCTTATTGTTTACTTGCTGTTTTTTATTGTTTACTAGCTGCCATTCTGTTTCATTATCATTAGTTTCAAGCAAAAAACTTGGTATATCTGGATACTGAAACATTCTCCAATGATCTGGATATTCTGATACCAAATAACTAGCAATATTATCCCAATCTAGCCATCTACTAGAAAAATTCTTTAGGATCTTTTTAGAATCTTTTTGAATTTTCTCAAGTTCATCATATCCCTGACCCAATATCTCTCGCTGAATTCTAGAAGTAGGACGATTTGGACATAGTTTATCAATACTGAAATTCTCAATGATTTCAGACTTTGATCGGCTGCCTATTCGTACAATTTTTTTAATGCCAACCTTTAATAAATTCTGAAATTGTTATAAATGTGTCAGTTATTCTTTACTTTATAATGCAATTACCCAAATATAATTATTAATTACCTCAAGAAATTGATCTAATGCATGATTAGTAAAACAAATCGTCAATATTGGCCCTAATTTTGTAGCTTTCTGGTTTGCTAGCAACGCTTTCATTATTTCAATGCCAACGAAAGTTTTTCCAGTTCCAGGAGGTCCTATTATATTAAACATTATTTTTATTACATAAATACAATAGTATTCATACAATGTATTGTAGAATATATTGATGAATAGTTTTAAAGAATTAACCTTCAATCAAAGCAACTTCTCTACATAAAGAATATACAAGGGATTGTGCTTTATGGATCAAAATTTATAAAGGTATTAGTAGTAATTAAATAATTCTTAAAAAACAAATTACATGTTCTTTACAACATACCTTGAGTATTATCAAGCCTACTTAATTCTTGAAGATTTTGAATAACAGTTTCATGAGAAGATGTGTCAGCAGCGTTTAGTAAAAGCCGTTTATTTTTATTTTCAAGTAGCACTGATAAATCAAATACGAATCCGGGTGCTCGGGCGTATGTAGGTGGATCAACAGCAGCAAACGAGGAACTTTCGATTATTTGTGGTGCCAAATACTTTTCGAAAGGAAGATTTGATGGTAATGTCGTTTGAAGTGCTTTTAAAATATGGAAATATGCCTCGAAATACTATTATGTCATTGTTAAAATAATATGTTTGAGGAAAAAGAAAATTTATGCATTTATATTATTCAGAACAAATTTCAAACTCCTACCGCTCCTATAGATTCGACCATAAAGCACCTTGTTGTTTGTTCATTTGGATTACCGGAATTTTTTTTCTTTATTTCTTCCAAAGCAATTCGATAAACCAGACTATCAATAAAACTAATATCAACCAATGCTACATGCTGATTTCGAGATAATAAATCTTCGTCACGAGACAACACCGTTCCAAAGAATAAGGAGAATTGAATGTTATCATTAGGTGAACTATTTTCGGATGGCCACAGCAGACAAACTAAACTTCCGTTCATAAGCTTGCTACTTTTATTCCAGTATTGCGATCGACCTTGTTTACTATCCAAATTACGCCGCATTTTGGGTTGTGTGAAACCCATTCGGCAAGAAAAACCTCGCCTTAGATTGACATTTATGTCAGAAAAGTGAACATTGGCATATACATTTAAGTCGCCACCATCCATGCCTTCTTTGTCATCATACTTATGTTTTCCACCATGCTCTTGTAGTTTTTGGAATTTTGCGTTATTTTTGGCAGATTTCGAGATAAATTTAATGAAGCTGCATAAAAAAATATTAGGATTTAAATTTATTAAATACACTTGACACTCGCTAATATCAACCCATTTGGATCACTCTTATATTCATGTTGATAGTGATATTAGTGAGGGATTATAGTAAAGTTAATACAGTATATATGAGGGAATTTTAATATATAAAAATTTATAAAAATTTGTCTTGTGACTTAGGTTGATATTAATGTAGGTTGATATTAACGAGGGTCACATCTATTAAATTTAGTCGAATTGGTTTAATTTTAGAAAATGCATACTTTTCAATGCCAAGGCGCATAGGACACATCATATCCTCTCTGAGAAGACGAAATTGTGTGTCAAGAAGGCGTTCTGCACCTTTT